GGCTCTTGCACTGTCTTCACAATTCACCCTTCAGCTATTCTTATAGCAGCAAGTCTTACTGGCCCACTTTACTCCTCTTAAGAACTAAATTCCTTATTTCAGGGTCTACACTTCCTTTTTTTCTGAAAAGCTCTTCTTCCCTCTTTGCCTGGCTGGTACTTACCCTGTAGAGCTTCCTGAGAGCTAGCTAGCTAGCTTGCTTGCTTTCTCTTCTTTTCCAATCAGATTTTATTGGTACATTTTAGATACACATAATAATCACACTCATCAGAGAGAATTTGTACCTGTACATGATATAACTTATTTCCTTTTATCCCATTCTCCTATCTCTCTCTCTTTCCTTTCTCTCACTTTTCATCTCTTGTTTCCTCTCTCCCTCTTTCTCTGTCTCTGTCTCTGTCTCTTGCTCCTCCTCCCCAGTCAGCTTAGGTTCCATTTTAAACCCTAATTACATGATATTTTCCTTCACTGCATTAACGTCATTCTAATTATATAACTGTACATGATTATGTAGTCTTGTCTTACTCCCATGACACCAAAAACTTAATGAAGGCAACTTATCTGCTTTATTATTTGCAGCACTAAGAACAATAACTAATATTGTAAAGGCACAACTTACTTTCTTTCATCTGAAGAGAGGGAAACAGACTGAGACAGAAGGCAGAGAGAAAGGAAGGAAAGAAAAAGGAAGAAAAGATAGAGGCAAGTAGAAACGGAGGGATGGAGGCCCCACTAGTGCTGGGAAGATATTTGATTCCTTTTCTATAGTGGGAAAGCTGGACAGGTTAAGAGTGGCTTTTACCTGAGGAACTACTTTTTAAAGGCAGAATCTGAACATCAAAATTGTGTCCAAAGGAAAATGATGATTCAAATTAGAATGGGCCCAAATGGATCATCAGGGCAAAGTGGGTCTGAGGCAAGTATTAAAAATAGAGCAAAATAAGAATGGAAAAAGGAGGAAAGGGGAGGGAAAATAAAAATAATTAACACAAATTCAAGAAACAGTAGAACAAAGCAATCAGCTGAATTATTTTGTTACTAGCTGCTTTCCATGCATGGACAAAGCAAGTCTGATTAAAGTGACATAAATCACACACAGCTGGCAGTTATAGATACTGCACAAGTATATGAATAAATTAGTGTTATTTTACATAAGCCATTTTCTTGTGAGTGTGCATAAATTCTGAGTCTACTAAAACACTGCATTAAGTTAGAGATTATGTAGAACCTTGGGGCCTGCCCCCAACTGGAGCTGTGACACTCTGCCTAAGCATTCTCTGGCTCCTCCCATCTCTAAATCTCCATGGCTTCTTCTTTTAAAATTCAACATTTTGAGCCAGTTATCAAGCACTTAACCTATATATTATCTCAGATCATTTCTTGTCCTTGATAATCAATTCATGGAAGACAGGAAAAATATCTAGTTCTTTTTCTCATCTCCTACCGAGTCTAGCACAATGATTCCAAATAGTGAGCACATAAAAAGGCATGAATAAATACTGCTATATATTTCATGGATGTTTATTAAATTGTTACCATCTTTTCAGTCCTAAATTAATTATAAAATATAAGATATTAGGGGCCTGGGGATTTAGCTCAGCGGCATAAGCGCCTGCCTTGCAAGCAGGCAGTCGTGAGTTTGATCCCCAGTACCGATAAAAAGACAAAATAAATAAATAAGATATTAGGATAATGATAAGGATATATCTTATAATGTATGTAGTTTTTTCTAACTTTTCTATCATTTCTAGTGTATCACTGGGCACACAGTGAGAACTCAGGCCATGCTTTCAGTGAACTGATTTCAATGGAGATGTATTTAAGTGGAGAAAAAAATGTATAACTGTATTTCTGAAACTTCATCTAAATTACTAATAAACTGAACAACTTTAAAATATACAAGAGAACTTTGTTATTAAATGGATTTCTAAGGTAAAGTTTTAATGTATTTAGAATCATTTCATAACATAATTCCTTAATTTAATCATTTTCTAAAGTTTCACCATTTTCTAAGTCAAGGTTGCTGACTGCTGGGTAAAACCTTACAGTACTAAGGGAACTAACTGATTTAATATTGCTATAGTTTGGATGTGTGTTGGGTGTGTCCTCAAAAGTTTCATGTGCTGGAAGACCTCAGTACTAAGAGATGATACAATTTTTAAGACCTAGACCCTATTGCAAGGTGAATAGGTCATTGGAGGCACTGCCTGGGGAAGGAATTAGTTTCCATGGGACCCTCATTAGTTCCCTTTGTTGTGAAATAGCCAGACTGGCCTCTCCCCACTCTGTGGCTTCCTGTTTCACATGATGATATATGCCATGATGTGACTTGGCCAAAGCAGTCCCCCTAGAGGTAAAACAAATAAATGGAGCTGCTGATTCTTGGGCTTCCAGTCTCCCAAACTTTGAACTAAATAATAAATGAATCACTTCTTACACATTCCTCAGATTTAGCTACTTTATAACAGCAACAGAATAACTAATATAAATATTGAGTAAATCAAGCTATTCACAGAGGTGCTCCTCTTCAGTTTTCCAGTTGCTCTGGCTCTGTCTGTCTGTCATATGCCATGTGCACATACACATACAAACCAATGGCTTTCTTGTGCCTTAACTAACATTTCAACTTTTGTAGTCTACTCTGACTTACAATATGATTATGTACAAACCTTCCAGTTTCCAATACTCTTTTCCACTCACCCCCCTCATTTACCCACAAGCCTCACCAGTTTTGAAAATAGGTATGCCTTCCATGGTAGCTGGATCATCCACAGTATCTAGACTCTTCAAGGTATCTGTCCTTGGTCGTAGCTTTGGTATGAGCATGCTGGAATTTGAAGTTTCCCCAGCTGAGAAGCAATAGTTGCAGGTCACCCTCAAGGTGAGATTGAAGGGAAGAACTGCTCATTATATCTTTTAATTTCTCCTATGATTTTCAGCTGTCTAGGGTGTTTTTTCCATAAATATAAATAAGAGAAGTAATGACCATTCTTAACAATTATCTTATTTCAAAAATATTCTCTTCCTGGACCAGGGATTTACCTCAGTGGCATAGTGCCTGCCTGGCAAGCATAAGGTTCTGAGTTCAGTCGCTGGTACAAAACAAAAAACAAAAAAACAAACAATAAACCAAACTATTCCTTTGACCTGAACAGAGGCTAGGCAAAATATATCTCTACCTATTTTGAGGCTGGGGTGGAAAACAAGACATATTTTCTTTAATTTGATTTATCTTATAGGTTTTGGGGTATCAATTACAATGGAAAGTATAGTTCCCATAGATGATCCTAGACAAGTTGAAAAAATTCATGAAGGACATAGAAATCCATGACCACCTTATGAGCTATAAATCTTGTTCTTGCTCAACTCTTACTTATCTAATTAGAGCCTATCCCTAAATGCCAGGCCATCATCTGTACTTGAACAAGGAAAGGATGTGACTCAGTGAAAAATATTTTATCATAGTGGGAATAGAATAACCCCTTAACTCAATAATTACATTGGAAAGTTTACATTCTATATTGAGGTTTTATGTCAAAGGATCCACTTACTGATACTGTACTGTAATCAGGACAAAATTGTACCTGTTCTCTGAGGAGTCCTGACTAACCGGCGAGACTGAATCACACACATGAAAAATTTCAGATGAAATTCTTCTTTATGCATGGTTATTTCCTAGAAATAAAGACAGAACTTAATCCAAGTAAACAGATCTATGGAGTAATTTAAGGTGTCAATGACTGATATGGACCATATATACTCAAATACTACTAGGTCTTAGGGCTTGAGAATATAAAGATTTCAACACATGAGGTGATACACATAATTTACTTTTATATATTGGATCCTTTGAAATCAGCAAATACTCCCTCTTTCCTACCTACTGACAGAATGGAAAAGGCTGGGGGCTTTCAGCTTTCTTCTTCAAGACTATACTCAGACTGCAGCAGTCACCTGGGTCTATGGTGCCTTTCAGGGATTATTTTTCTAAAACTTCTGCACAGGGCTTGCACCAGAGGTCAACCAAATTGAGGGGCTTCCTAAATAGCCTAAATGAACAATCTATTTCTTATTATTCTTTTGAAAATCCTGACATAGATTACAGGTTAATTACAGTGGTCCTAAGAATAACAGAAAGGACCTGTCCAGGGTCAAGCTCCAAGTCCTTTCCTATCTGTATCCAGAAAAGTAGATTTGTAAGGCCCCACAGGAGAATGATGCCTATATTTCAGACTCCTCCAGTGTTTTGGAAGCTTCCATATGTTGTCTTGGTCTAATTTAAACTGTCCCTAGATTCCCCCTTTTGTTTTGTTTTGTTTTTTGTTTTTGTTTTTTAGAAGGTCAGTCAAGTACCACGTGATGCAGATTATAGTACTTCTTCAAGTTAAGATACTGTTTCCTAGTTGTAGATCTGCTATGCACTTTGTAACTTGGAGAAATTATTTCATTTACCAGAACCTATTAAGACTAACACATTTCCAATAAACCTCTATAAATACTAACGTTTTATGATTCAAAGTAAGATACGATATAGCTGGAGATCGACCAGGATCTCAAGTGGTCATTTTTCAGGGAGACCACAAGTTCCTAAAAATCTAGGGCCACAGGGAAAAGCTGTCATGGAAACCCGAGAGGAAACAAAAATCGCCTGCGGAACCAGAAGGCGGCGGGTAAGGCGTCCGAGGGGACAAAAAAGCGAGGGACCAAGAGTCCAATAGCAGTAGAAAAAGAGGGGAAAGCCCACATTAAAGAGAAACGGAGAAATTATAACTGTAGTTTTAGACGCTCCCTGAGCTATTGAGGCGTCGCCACAAAGTGCAGGCGTTTCAGCGCTCTTGAACTCTCGGCTCTTTGACTCCTGCCCCACCCCCACTTCGGCAGCTGCCCAGAGCTCTTCCGGTGCTGGGAGGCGGTTCCGGTTCGCGGCGGTTCCCGGGTTTTGCGTTCCGCGCCCGGCCGGAAACACTTTGGCCTAGCAGCCGGTTCCGGTTCGGTGAGTGGCGGCGGGAAGCTGGGGGAGGGGTGAGGATGGAGGGAGTCTGGGCCGGGAAGCTGCGTCGGACCGACCCCACCAGCCTGGGCTGCGCTGTGCGGGAGTGTGGACCGCTGCGGTGGCTGCGCTTTACCCGCTGCCCCGCCCCCTGGGACCACCTCCCCTCCCCCCTGCTGTCCGGCGGCCGCGATCGGCGCAGTGGCCGTTAATTAGGCTTCCCGCGGTCGCTCTTCGGGCCTCTTTCTCCGGAGCCCCGGGAAGGCCGTCTCTGCGTTCTCAGCAGGCCGCATCCCAGCACCGCCCAGCTGTACTGGACGAGAAGAGGCCGATTGGGATTTCGGGACTTTCCCGCCAGAGTAGTGTCTTCTCTCGAAGGAGAGCTGTTTTCGCTAGAAGCTCAGCTTTCACTCACACCTGCTTCACCTCTCGCGCAGACCTGAATGGTATCTCTCGGCTCTTTCTGTGTCTCATATAGTCAGTTTTCCAACTCTTAACTCTCATATCTCTCTGAGGTGTGATATCGCTAGTGCCACGACCGAAAAAACGACCGGACCCTCCCGCCCAGGTTATGAGAATCCCCTTACCTGCCACAGTGTGCTTACCCGGCTCATCGCCTCTTGGTAATTCCTCGAACCGTCTCGTTCTCGGTGTACCCTAACGCGACCTCTATGGATGTATGCCCAGTTTCTCTTGTCTTGAGCTTGGTGATTTCTGTTTATCAGTGCCTCTGCAGTATTTCTACTATCTTGTTGTCTATAACTTACTCCTTTATCACTTTAAAGTCACACTTGTTAAAGTTATTTCAGTTCACGTTTGTTGCACTTACTGTATTTGGAGTGGTGGTGATTCTTGTAAAATTTACATAGAGCCACTTACAGGCTGCCAGCTATTTGTCTTGGGGTCCTTGTTGCAATTGGATATTCTGGATGGAGTAGATCACATCATCTCCAAAGTCTTTATTCCTCATGAATATTATTTGGGTTAAGGACTCGTGTTTAACTGTAGATCACACTGACTTTGACTTACTGTTGCGGGGAAGCCTTAAGCATCTCCTTAAGCATGATCCCTTAACCTTCTAGTCTCTGCCCCCGCCCCCAGTCTCCCATACCTTTTAAGAAGCTTCATTCATCTTTACCTGACTTAAGTTAATTATCTCAACTGTAAATATGGTTTTCGTCTATTGCACATATGACGAGTTAAGTCTGGAGGGAGTGGATGAATACAAAAACAGGTTCTGCTGCTTCTGGCTAAGGTGACATAATTCTTAACTACAGTTTTGGAAGTCCTTTCCCAGACTTCCGCATCTTCTACCACTTGTACTAGCTTTAGAGTTTTACTGCATCTGCTTCCCCTATTAGACAGCTTTTCAGAGGCAAGGATCAATTTTTGGATCCTTTTATCAGCCATATCCCACTCTTACTCTATGTGTAATAAATATACGTGTATCAAAGAAGTTAAAAATACTTTTTAAAGCTTAGAATATTAAGGTTCTTAAAGAATTAGAAACTAACTCGGACAGATTAATGTAATCTAATGTAGAAATAGTAAGAGGGGAAAAGCACAAGTATGTGGTATAGTACCACCTGTATCATTATGTAATTTTGTTTTCCTAATACATTAGTTTAGAAGTGTTTTACTACATTGGTTTTACTGCATTCAGGACTTTGTTTCCTTTTTTCCTTCAAATTTCTTGTTACCTAAGTCACACTACTAACCTGATTCACCTGAATAATTGCAACTGCATGTATTCTTTTAATAAATTCATCAATGTATACTAGAGATTAATTATTAGAATGACTTTCTTGAAAGAAAAAATTGTTTTCTTTGCAAAACTTTGGTGGCGTTAAATAAGGTTCCTGATGCAGCGCTTCAAGCAGAATCTTCAGATATCTCTTCTTCCAGTGTGACCACAAAGTGACTGAAAGAAAATACTTATAAGCACTGGAGAGAAATGAAATGCATTTGTATTAAAATGTAAAGGTGGAGTTTTAATTGTTTAAATTATAAATCAGTATGTATTCCCCAGAAGTAGAGATTATTTTCTAATTGCTGTATAAATCTTTGACAGAGGGTATGTTAATTAATGTGCACTTGTATTGTCTTGGGTTATGTTAGAAATGTGCGTTTGAGGAGTCAGAATACCCCAGTTGTCTTCCCTTTGATTTTAACTGTCATTTAACCTCCCTGGACATAATCTCTAAAATTCTTTTTAAGTTTTTAGCTTTCTTCCCTCTTCTATCCCAAGAAAAGACAAAGAAAATTTACATGGGATTATCCTTTGTGTCAGCAGACTATTTGCTGCTTTTCTATTCTTTTCCTTTTCTTTCTTTTTGACTTTCTCTCTGTCTTTCTTTCTTTCTTTCTTTCTTTCCTTCTTTCTTTCTACTAGGGATTAAACCCAGATCTATTTACATGGTAGGCAAGTGCTTTGCTAGAAGGCAGCATCTCACCCATTTGTTTTTTTGAGACAGGGTCTCAAAAGTTGACTAGGCATCTTATACTTAGGATCTTCCTACCTCAGCTTCCTAAGTAGCAGGGATTATGGGTTTATGTCACCTCACATGGCTGGCATCAGACTTAAATTGGCATTTCCTTAATAAAATGAATAAAAGCTAGTTATGACAGTGACAGGAAGTGAGCTGAAAGAGTAAAATGTGAAAAAGCACTGCTAAATTATTTGTCAGCACCTGCCCCCGCCATAATCTGGAATCCACGTTATTTTGCTCTGTTAAAGGAGATGAGTAAGAATAAGCAAAGGAATTTCTAAGCAGGAGCCTTGTATTAATTTGAGCACTTAGAAATATAGTACAAACCTTAATCTGAGGCCTAAACTCTTTGAGGAGCCTCCCCAGAAAGTGTAGGTAAATCAGTGATCACTCTACTTAGTCTATAACTAAGCTGAGGAAACTCGAACAGCTTTTATTTGTGTGCACACTTTTGTTATTGTGGCCACAAAAATGCTTATTATCATGCATATTGAAACTCTAGTATTGTTATGTATTCAATGAAGTACTCAATCCAAAAAAATGCTCAAAAAAATGTAAATGTGATTATTACCACCCCTCCTCTCCTCCTGGAAGTCTGCCAAGAAGCATTACCATGGGCCAAGTATGTGTTTATTAATCTAGTTCCAAGCAGTTAGGCTTTTAAGAAGAAAGTAAGGAAAGTCTACTCTTGTCTATGATTTTTGCTTTCTGTAGTTTGAATTATTATTTAATAGTCAGCTGTGGTTTCAAAATAATGGAAATTTCCTGTTTTGAGAGAAAAATACAGAGAAATTACATCATTATAACTTTCTTGTAATGTAATTGTTAATCTCATGTCTAATTTATAAATTAAACTTTATCTTAGATATTTATGTATATAAAAACATTATGCACAGGTTTATAACTATTTGCAATTTGAGGCATCCAATGGGAATCTTGGAACATATCCTCCATAGATAAGACCATTGTATAGATTAAGATATTCTGGTGGTTAGTGGTATTTTATTTTTGTTGTTTTGTGGTGCTGTAGATGAAACCTAGGGTTTCATACAAGTTAAAAGTACTGTGCCACTACTATTTAACACTACTATGTTAAATTCTCAACTTTGATTTTTAACAACTTGATGGATGATGTGAGGAAGACAGTAGTTGATACAACTGGACTCTATTCCTTGATACATCTCAACAAATCAGTAGCTTTATATTTGGCCACTGAGTATGAGAAGTCTCAATCATCACAGGATCTGTGATTTGTTTATAAAATGGTGTAGCATGAAATAATAGAAAAGGCAATGGACTGGGAATAATTTCTAGGTTATAATTTCAGTGCAGTTACTAACTTTATGCGATGTAATCTTCTGTCGGTTGGCTGTCCCAGCTGCCTCTTTCTTTAATATTCTGTGATTCTTTGAGTTTGTAATTGCTCTTCAGTGTTGCACAGTTTGCAGAGTTGTTTGGAAGTGCCTCAGGCCAATTTTCCATTCATTTCCCATGAAGTCAGTTCTTTTACCAACTTAAATTTTTCTCCAGTAAGAACACAAATGTTACTTTTGAGTGACTTCCTGTTCTATAATATGTGACAGAAATTTCATTATTTAATGTTTCTGTTTTGTGCCTTCTTTTATAGGACTTCGTATATTTGCTAAAGTCAGTGATGTGAAAAGACCTGACATGGGTAAGACTAATATAATCATTTAATCCTTTTAGTAACTCAGGTTAGGGAAAACAAGTTTCCCTGACATTTTCAGTATTTTTATCTTGGTGCATAATAATTTTAAGAACAATTTTAATCTTTTTCTGTTTTTTGAGATAGGAATCTTGGCGATGTAGTTCAGACTGATCTTAAACTCAATATGTAGTACGGGCTGGCCTTGAACTCATGTCAGTGTTCTGCCTCAGCCTGGTGAATGCTGGGGTTACAGGTGTGCACTACAGGTGTGGTCAATCTTAATCTTATATACCAAACATAATTTTCTTTTGGTGAAGTGGGACATTGTCTACGGAGTCATTTTGGAGCATTTTTTTTCCTTCATTATATTGAAAAAGCCAAATGTACACTAGCAAATGTATGCTTCCTGGTATATTAAAATTAAGGTGAAAATGTTAAGGCACATTTTCTCATTCATTATAATGAAAAAGACAAATGTACATTTACTATACTTACTGTTTACATGTCTTAAGTACTTAAAATATATTAATCTATATTAAGTACTTAAAATATATTCTTTTGATCACCTTACAAGAATACCTAATAGTAGGTACTGTCATTGTCCCTGTTATATCAACAAGGAAAGTGAGACACAGAAGAAACTAGCTTAGAAGCCAGGCATGGTGGCATACATCTGAACTCCTATTTCTCTATAATCCCTGTGCTTGGGAGGCTGGAGCTATATAGTGAACTTCTGTCTCAAAAACCAAAAGCAAAAAAAAAAAAAAGACCTTAAGGTTACATGTATTATACCTAGCAGAGCCTAGATTTAAATCACTCTGGTTCCAGATTTCCAATCTTTACTACTATGTTACACTGCCTTCTGTGTGATAATTTGAATAAAGTAAATCTTATATTTTATTTACCTAGTAATACTGAGAATTCATTGTGAGTAGAACATTTTCTACTGTTTTTATTCATGGTACTTTGTTAAGGGGATCAATATAAGATCAGCAGTAAGAGTCAATTTAGCTATAAATTGAAAAATCTATACAATAAGATCTCACAGCACTCCACATACTCGTTTTAAATTTCCATCAACTTTCTATGTTTTCCCTTAGGATTAGTCTACCTTCTCCTTTTCCCCCTCATTTGTTCCTATTTTCTTTCCTTGCTGGTATTCAGGGTCAGTTTTTTTAGATCCTTTCTCATTTATTTTTATTTTAGCTCTTTTATAGTAACAAAAGTCTCAAAAATGTTTCTAAAGTAAGATTCTGCCACAGTTTTATATTGCACTGACATCTGTTAAGAACTGTGTGAATAAATTTTAAAAAAAGAACTGTATGAATAAATTATACTTTCCACAAAAAAATTTCAAGTGAATTGTTTTAAATTACCTTCTTTTGAATCAAAACAAGAAGTAAACCAATATGAACCATGTTTGCTTCTGAATGATGAAACTGCCCTACCCTAGTGTTTGGGTTTTTTTAAGACAGTTTTGCTATGTTGCCCAATTTTTATTCCTGTATATATTTGATAGGTGTTCTCAATTCCAAGTGAGCCAATTTCTTTGTGTGGGCCCCTTTTGACAGTGACAGTTTGAGATTTCTTGCCAATGGTTGGGAACCATTTTTATTAGATGAAAAGACTGGTTTATAGGAAAAGAGTTAAGAATTTAATGACCTGAATTAATCTAAACTCTTTCTTCCAGATGATATTGCTGATAGGGTGAGGATGGACGCTGGAGAAGTAACGTTAGTGAACCATAACTCCATCTTCAAAACCCACCTCCTGCCACAGCCAGGGTTTCCAGAGGACCAGCTTTCACTTCCTGACCAGCAGGTTAAGAATCATTTTTTTCTTCAATTAATTTGCTCATTGTTGGTTTTCATCTGATGTGGTTTAAATGTTTACACTCAAAAATACAAGCATATATGTGAATTTTTTTAGAGTAAATAATTGTACTGTTTAGAATTCTGCTTGGTGTATTAAAGTTAAGGCAAAAGTGTTAAGAAAAAATACCATTATTTCAGAATAGCACCTTTTTAAAACTCATTGTTCATCAACTGTCAATACATGAGTCAGTGTTCTTTTAAACTAGTGTCTTAAAATTACTGAGCAGTAATTTGAATGAGTGTAAATACACAGCCATTTTAAGATATGTCTGTATGAGGAAGTTCAGGATTAAAATGTGAGATGCACTATTAATAAAGCAGTACTTCTTAATAGGAAGCCATTAGTATGTGGATGAGATAGTTCTTTGCTGTGTGCATGTATCCTAAGCATAGTAGGACAGACATTGAATACTGTAGCATCCATCCTCTCATAATTATTTAAATGATGGGTATGTGTTTACATAGTTCAGATTAGCACCAGGACTGCAATACAACCCCTGTGTAAGAATTTTCAAAAAATCAAAATCAAGTTGGTTTTCTCAGTCTCTTCATAGCCCATTATAACTGGCTTTCAGATAGAATATACTAACACGTATTTACCTTCCAATGAAGAGCCTTTGAATAAAATTATATAGCACATTTTTACCCATTTTCTCCCTGGAACCTGAAATATTTCATCAAGTGTATTTTCCTTATGAGTCTTTAGTTTATGTATAATATATATGTAAGTATACTATAATAATATTGAATTGCAAAGTATACAATAGTTTGTTTAATGGTTTCCTTAATATAAGTACAATTTATATTGTAAAAAATATGATTTAAGAAAAATCTTCTCCTTTGTTTAGATTTTACCTTCCAGGCCAGGAAATTTGGATCGCTCTTTTACATGTTCCACAAGGAGTACAACTTATAGTCCAAACTATTATTCAGGTACGACACTTTACTTGTAATCAAGGCACTTTCAGATTTCTCCCTAGTACATCATATTTGCATATTATCTTTTAGCATTAAAAACATTGTTAAAAACAAAATGGCATTTTCTTTGCTAAAGCATCATTTTAATAAGTTTTTCATATGTATATATATAAATTGCTCTAATACTTTATGGATCTAGTCTCAAACAAATGTTAATTTTTTAGTGGAAGTTTTTTAGAAACTATTTTCCTGTTTGTCTGTTATGCCATTATAGAAAACAATACAGCTTTGGTTTTGTTTGATGTTTACTTTTGTGGGATATGTGTATGTACTTATAAGAGGGATTTGTTTTGTATTGATCTAAATCACAGTCTATTCTGCTTGAAACACTGAAACCTGAAAATTTATTGCTACCCAAGCTTGTCCCTCCATCAGGGCAGGAAGTGTTAACTGTATGTTTCTATCTAGAACCTGCCACAGCCATATGCTTGCATATTCAAGGGCTTGCGTGTTCAGCTTGTGATCCATGACAGAAGTCACCAGTCTCTAGGCTGTCCTATCCCTGGTTTGTACTTTCTGCTGACTTGAAAAACTTAAGAATTTTGTTTTAGCATTTAGGCAGTGACTCAGGAAGATTACAGTGGTCTTCCCAATCTTTTCCCTCATCTCATTTTACCATAAATATGGGGATACTGCAAATTCCATTGAACCTGCCTAAATGAAATTTTTTATAAGGATAAATGGAGATGATAAATATGAAATGCAAATAATAATTGTTGTTATTTGGCTTCCTCAGGATTCTTTGTCAGCAAGATGAGATCTCCTCCCCTAAAAAGACGTTAGTATAATACTCTTATAGATTTGTATTTAAATGTACATTAGGTGGATGGTACTTTAGGTGCCCTGGGTTATGTCTCGAGATGGGCAGTGGCTTTCACATAGTATATGTGCAATTTTTATAAAAACATTGAGTAACTCAGAAAGCAACACTACTGTTATTACTATTGAAAAAGGATCTTTCTGATGAACAGAGCACCTGAAATCTGGTTTGATAGCTCATTATTAATCCTAGAGAAGGGGTAATTGAGTTGTTGACAAAATCAGATCATTTATTTTCTACTTGAATTCAGGCTGCGTTTCCTCATAATTTCACTTAGTGATTTAACATTAGAATCTTTGCTTTAGATTGAAGATAATTTCTCAATAATAAACCCTTGTATAGAAAATTATACACAAAGTACCCTGACTATAACTCAGTTCTTTTTTTCCCCTTGTAAACTAGTGAATCACTATGAAAACTAGTATGAAGATTCCTCAAAGATCTAAAACTAGAAATTACACCTTTTGTTTTGTGCTGGGACTTGAACTCAGGAACCTTGCACTTGGCTGGCAGGTGCTGTGCTACTGAGCTATATATCCCTGGCCCTTAGAAATTACATTTGACCCAGGATTCCTTGTCAAGGAATAGCTTCTGATTTTTATGTGTGTATACATTTAGACTCCGCGTGATATGATTTTCCCATAAAATATTTTGTTAAAAAAAACTCAAATTTTGTAGTTTTAGGTTTCAATCAGTTCATATGTTCTTCCTCATACTTCTTTTTAGTCTTTAGTCCATGGAATTGATACCCATGTCCCCAATATTGAGATTTATGTCCAATTCCAACCTAAACTCTGAAAACCAAACTTTTTTCATTAATATCAAAATCTGACCTGATTTGACCTGAAATTTTGTCCTTGGCAAAGCCTACATGAACTAACATGAAGTTGTTTATATTTTGTGTTTATTTATCTCTGTAAATATGAATATCTATGTGTTTTGCCACATACATAGCAGTACATTTGTCTATAGGATACTACTGTAATTTATAGTTGGAAGTGTTATATAATGTATCAGATTATCTTCCTAAATATCGTAAAAATTTAAATTCAGAAATAGAACTGAACCTGTGGGTTTATGATTTGGGATGATGGGCCTTGCCTTCATGTGCTTCATTATTTTTCCTATAGTTTAGGTCCACTTCACACTTGCCATTTTCAGCTATTATTAGTAGCATGATTTAAGAGCATTCATAAAAATACCTTTCTTTTAAATTACAGTAAACTCTTGATATTTAGGGTATGTTCAAGACTATCTCACATCTTCATATTCTTGATTGTAACAATATTTACTAGATTTTGAGTGATGTGATTGATGAGTTAGTTTTTCTATAATTATCTTTTTGCCACAAGTTAATTCTCTTCTCAGAAACATTAAAGTGTATCTCTCATTTGAACTTAGGAAATTTTTAGGAAAAACAGTTATAATATCCCTGCCAATGAATAGAGAAAAACATAACTATACTGAATGGGAGTGCTGTACTATTAAATGCACTCCCTGAAACTGGCTGAGGTGATGTATACCTTCAATCGTGTCATTCTGGGAGGCTGAGGTAGGAAAGTCCTAAGTTCCAGCCTACCCTGGGCAATTTAGCAAGATCCTATCTCAAAATGAAAAAAAGGGCTAGGGATGTAACTCCATGTGAAGGCTCTGGTTTTAGTGTCCAGAACTGCAGAAGCAGGCATCACAGTGTGAAGACCAGGATTCAGTTTTTTCCTCCACCAAATTTTATTTAGTCTCTGTTCAAACTAGCGTATTGCATGTCACGGACTCCAGGATTGCTCACTAACAATTACAGTTTGAAATCCATGAATGCCAGTCATTTATAGACTTTTCTAAAATAAAGTCTTGAGTTAAAAGCTTTTGGTACCAGGGAGGTATAGATTGGTGGTAGATTGCATGCTAGCATATATAAAGCCCTGGATTTAATCCCCAGTGCCAAATAATAGCTGTTTTTGTTTTTACTATGTGCAGTACCTCTAAAACTTTCTTTTGTTCGCAATAAGCTGTTCTAATTCATTGCAAATCCTGCAGAACTTTGTCTGCATTACCTCTTTTATATAATCTTTATCAATTCCTGTGGCCAGTCACCTTGAGCCTAATCTCATGGTTTGGCTACACATGAATCCCCATCGTACCTGCCTTAGTCTTCTGAACTGATCTTCTCTCTTATCTTACCATTGCCTTTACCAAGATGGAAATGAGCAAGAAAGCTCAAACTTTAGAAACATTTATTATTTTATATTGAATCTACCTCTCTAGAGCAAAACTTTAAAAAGTTTGCTTTTCAGTGCACTCAGGATTAGAATAAACCAGGCAAAGTGGTGCACACCTATAGTCCCAACATTCTGGGAGACTGAGGCAAGAGAATTATGAGTTTGAGTCTAGCCTGGACAATTGAAAAACATAATGAAACCTTGTCTCAAAATAAAAAAGGGGATGGGGAGGGCTAGGGATATAGCAAACTATCCTGGATGCAGAAAAAAGAAAAGAAAAAAAAAGAATTTAAAATATTTTTAGGAAAACAGGGCAGCACTGATTCTTCATGTTAATAACAGTAATGGTCGGCCTTCAGGTTCCCCAGTTTTATTAAAAGCAATATGAAAAGAAAATTTTAAAAAATTTAAACCTCAAAAAAAACAAAAACGAAATTATTTTTGCTACTGTTTAGGATCATTATCAGTATCTTATTTTTAGAAAATGTTAGGTTACCTAACAGTTGCCCTATTACTGTGGTAACTAAAGTTAACAGAAATAGTTTAATGATTGTAGTCACAGTAAGTAATTGACTGTAAACTTTTTTTAATATAACGTTTAGCATAGTGTTTATTTTATGGATTTCCATAAAAGTATTGCCTGGCCCTGTGGAAAATTTGTTAAGAAAAGTAGAAAATTAACCAGCATTCTATTACTAGAACATAAAAATTAAATTTTCAGTGCATTTCCTCCTAGTTTTATTGTCAGTATGTGTGTGCAGTGATCTTAATTCTAGCATCTGTAACTCGGATTCTAGAGATAACAGAATGTCAGGTTAAATGTTCACTTTAAAAAAGTGAATTTGCAGGCTTTTGGTCCTTCCCTAATTTTGTTAGACCTCTTTAGCAATAGAAGACTACTCAGTGATGCTGTCAGGTGGGAATGGAACTACTTTATTATGATTAATCAGTCTGCCTGATTTGTGCTTTTTCTTTTGTATTTTATTTATTGTTTGTTTGTTTGTTTTTTGAGGCATCCTCTTTCTGTGTAGTACAGGCTGGTCTTGAACTTACTATGTAGCCCAGGCTTACCTCAAGCTTGAGGCAATCCTCCTATCTCAACCTTGCACGTGCTGGGACTAAAATGTGTGCCACCACTCAGCCATTCTTGCTTTTGGGTTCTCTCTCTCTTTCTCTCTCTCTCTCTTTCTTTTTTCTGTTTCACTTTTCCCTTCTTTCCCTTTACCCTTCCCCTCTCCTTTGTTTCCCTCCCCATTTAAACATTTTTCTCTCTATTTTACAGTATCTATTACACATTTTGGTCCTTATTTACACTTTCAGTTTCTTAAACTAGAGAAACAATGTGGTATTTATATATGTGTGTCTGATTTATTTCACTTAAGAGTATGGTGTTAAGATGCATCCATTCACCTAGAAATGTCTCAGGCTTATCCTTCTTTATGGCAGAGTACTTCTCCAGTGTATTAAAAAACCCATATCCTAGTCCATTTGGGCTGTTTCCAAGATACAGGTATTGCAAACTGCCACTATAAACATGGGTATGCATGTATCACTGTGGTATGATGCTTTTAATTCTTTGGGGAAGATACCAAGAAGGGGAGTAGCTGGGTCAAATGGAGCCTCTAGTTCTAGTTATTTGAGGAACTTCCACACTGATTTTCATAGTAGTTGCACCAGTTTATACTCCCACCAACAATGAAAAAGGGTTTCTTTTCCTCTATTCTTACTTTCTTCCTAAAGCTCCTCGGTTCTATAACCTAAAATGTAAAGTTATTTTGCAGGAGCTATTTTTAAATTGTCCAGTCCTTATAGAGGAGAGTATAGAAATTACAACTCCTGGATGAAATTTAAGATTTTTGTCACCCTAGTTTATAACCCAGAAGTCATAAAATTCAAATATCAAACAATCCTCAGTCTGATTGTAATTGTGAGCATTGAAATATTGATGTCTGATGATTGTGGCATTAAGTGACTGAAGATTGTCCTATCAGAAACAGGTGTATAAATTGGGTTGTTCCTCCCATAAGCCGACCAGTATAAGCAGCACTTAGGTTAACTGTGCTCTTTTGAGAGAGTTCCTGAGTCTTGATCATGGTAATTAAAAAGAAGAAAGTGACACCAGCTGCTTATTAAACCATAATTGTTGTTCATTTGAATTACAATTCTCCTTGGCCCTCCACATGCTTTCTTACTGGTCTGGCCTACCTTCTTTCAGGCCCAGGCCTGGGAGTGCTTGCAAGATATAGTTGGGGTAAAATGTTGACTTTTGGTGGACACCACGGAGTCACATTGATGCAGATAAGGCACATGGCTGTGGCAGGATTCAGCTCCTTCATCAATTTTCAGGTTAGTATGGCTGAATCAATTATAGTTTGTAGAAGTTTCCTGACTGCAGATTTTCCTGGCAGTTGAGACTGGTATCTTTCTTCCATGAGAGACATGGTAATATGCTACATTACTTTGGAATACAGTGATGGTCATGGTTGCAGTCATAAAGAGAACCAGCTGTAGTTACTTGTTTAATTTATTCAAACTTTTATTTGTGTTTGTTTTTTTAGACAACCCTTGCTCAGACAATTTTCTTGGCTCAGGCGATGTAAGGACTTTCGGCCAGAGTGCAAATGGCCAGTGGAGAAATTCCACTCCAGTACCAAGCTCAACTTTACAAAAATCAAGAAACAGCCGAAGTCTTTACCTTGAAACCCGTAAGACCTCAAGGTTGGTATTTGCCTAGTTTTTAAGCCCTTCCTCAGGTATTAGTGAAAATGGCTGTAAGATAGTTGTTACATTGGTATTTTGAATGAGTCATACCACTTTTGGACTTTCAACTATAGAGATATAAACAAATCAGTTTCAAGCTTCCAGTGTTTAAGTTACAAATTTTAGTGATAGCCAAAGTTTACTATTAAAAGAGAGTTGTGAGGAAAATCTTAGTGGACTTGAGTGTATTGGACCCTTCAGGATAAGTTAGCTGTCACAGATTTTGAAGTGCATATCAATGCAACTTGAGTAGCAAAGGAACCTGCATGTCTAATAGCCTTTCACATGAGCCAAAGACAGAAAGCAGCTCTGTGCCTCACACATTAGTCAGCTACTTCTGTAAGAAATTAGAGAGTACAGAGAACTTTATTCTAGTTTATATGCCTCACTTATTCCCTTACCCAACTTACACTGATTATTAAAGACAGATGAAATTTGAGCTAGTAACTTTGCCCGAGGTATTTTATTAGTAAAATACTGTATTATAAAACCAATGTTTATGACTTAAAATCTCTGCTACTGTGTTCAAGAAATGTGAGATCAGATCTTGTTGAGTCAAGCCCTTCTGATGCTGATCAAAATTAACAAGATGGCCTTTTTACTTTATGATTGTTACCATCTGGACTCTGAGAACAAATGTTATTGCTCTCAGGGATCATCTTCACCACTTCTAAATATTCAGATTACTTAAAAATTAATACATTTATATTATAAAAATCAAACATTACCAATGAAGTTAAAAATCCCTAGGCCACTGCACAGTCTCATTCCCATCCCATTGGTATTTCCTTCTAAAACTTCCTATGTTTACTTCACTCTCACTCATACATAGCACAAAAACACCTATGAAACACTACATGATTTTTGTCTTCATTAAGAGGTTTTCTGTATACTTTACTCAGCAGGTTGCTTTTTTTATTCAATACTATATTTAAAAGTAGTTACAGAAACAATACATATGTTTAGTGAAAAATTAGAAAATATAGATAAGCCCAAAAATAAAACAGATATGTCACTTTTCTACCAACTTGAAGGCAGTCTGTGATATCTTAGTACATATCTTTCCAGATAATTTTCTATGCTTTTACATACATTGTTTTACAAAAATAAGCTAATACAATTTTAATAACAGAGTTTTTCTATACTGAGTTCCACTTTTTGGATAGATTACTGCTTCGTGGTATTATTTTGTCCTTTATTCCTTATATTTTTGTAACTAAATTTTTGGCTAGAAGAAAAAATGATGCTGTGCTATATCACATTAGAAAGTGCATGGGCCAGGCATGGTAACGCATGCCTGTAATACTGGTACTCAGGAGGCAGAGGCAGGAGGATTGCCACAAGTTCAACGCCAGCCTGGGCTACAAAGTGAGTCCAAGGCAGCCTGAAAAACCTAGTGAGACTCTGTCTCAAAACAAAAAGAGAAACAAACAGTAATTTATTCTGGTTTTCTTGTCATTAATGATGCCATATTGATCTGGATTAGGGAAATGACAGTCTGGTCCCTAATTGTGCAATCAAGTTTTTCCCTTTATGACTAGAATTTAATCTAAATGATGTTACTTTGGCCTTAGGTGAATGAGCAGTTTCACCTAATAGCCTTTCACTTAACATAGTTCTTAATCCTTACCGGATAATAATTTTGTTAGAGTTAATGAGGTGATATTTTTGTAATTTTGTCATTTCTTCTTGTTTGATTGGTATTCTTATATTTTCATTAGCTGAGGCTTTTTGGTTACCTTGAAATGTATTACCTATGGGAAAGACTGGATAAATTGGATTTTTCTCTTTTTTTTTTTTTTCTTTTGAGACGGGCTCACTGAATAGTTCAGATTGGCCTTGAACTTGCAATGATCCTCCTGTCTCTGCCTCCTGAGTGTTGAGATTACAGGTGTGCTCCCCCATGCCCAGCAAATTAGGATTTTTTAAAACAGTTTTTTTTTTTTTGATGAGAATTTTTTATTACCAATTTTCACAATATTTTTAGTGGCCATTGTAGTGAGATGAATTTTGTTCTGTTATCTTTTGTGTATGATTAGGGATTCAGTGTGTTTTAAATCACTGTAATTGTACACTTAATGTTCATGTTCTCACAACTGAACAGTGAGATTCCCTGTCAGACTTGCCTCAGTGTCTGCTTGTCCCAACCTCATTAATTTTTTTAATTTTAGCATCCCTATTTTCTGGCAAAATATCATTTTTTTAAATAAAAAATTTTTACATTAAAAGTGCACAAATGCACATTCTAGGAAATTCAAGTACATAGACAGTGTGAAGAATCCATGATACTTCTTCCAAACAATTACATAACCTAGATTATTATCTTTTTTAGCTATTGCTACTCAACCTGAAAAAAGTAAACAGTTGATGAAATTCAAAATCTTTGCTCCTTTCCTCACTCTAAAAACTAGTAAAATTTACAAAGTTAAAGAGTATATATATGCACTTTATTTTCTTAAATGTAGTCAGTTTATTTGAATTCAGACTACATATAGTAATTTGAAGAGCTGATTGTGTCAAATCTCGCTTAGTGAGCTATATAACTGTTCTGAGCACTCAGCAAGGAACAGAAGGAAAATTCAGTATGGTAAAAGTAAGCATTTCAGACCTGGTGAGTAACGATAGATGAAAAAGATAATACAGGAGCAAAACTTAAAATGATTTATCCTTAGAACTGGTCTTTTGAATTCACAGAATTTTTTTTCTCATTAGATAAGGCACAAATACTATAAAGAAACAAAAAACAAATTTCTTGAGCAGAAAATACTGAGGCCAAAAGAGGATTCATAAAATGATGTAGCCTATTCCTTCCTTCTCGAAGTTTTTAAAATGAAGGCTAGGCGCCCTCTATTGGTCTTTCAGGAAATTTTAAGATTCCATTTAAAAGTTGATTGTGATGCTTCAGATTTACCCATCTGTACATACTTAAAGTAATTCCTTCCAAAGGTTTGGGGGCAGAGCTGGGATAATAAAGGAAAATTTTTCATATATGTATATTCGAAACCAAGGTTTTCCAAAGAATGCTAGTCTCTTTGCTTTGTGTCATATCACACAGCTACATGGTTCCAGACAAAAGGAAATTCTACATTGTAGATACAAGAAATAACATCTTTAAGTATTGACTGACTTGGCATTCTGCCCAGTTTAACATAAACTTTTAAGTGCAGAACCCCACGTATCTTACCTATATAAATTGTAAACTATAATCGTATAATTCTTTCACAAATGGAATCCCTATCAATTCTTCTATTTTTTATTTTGTTATTTCTTGAAATAGACATAACCATTTTTATGTCTCATAATTCTTTTTAGTGGGTTATCAAACACATTTTCAGGAAAGTCAAATCATCACTGCCATATGTCTGCATATGAAAAATCTTTTCCTATTAAGCCTGTTGCAAGTCCGTCTTGGAGTGGTTCTTGTCGTCGAAGCCTTTTAAGTCCTAAGAAAACTCAGCGACGGCATATTAGTACGGCAGAAGAGGTAAGAAAAACCTGCATCAGAAGCTATTAACTAAGTTAGAAACTTGCTCTCCCTTGAACCATTTGCTATCTCTGATGTAGATACTTAATGATTCTATGTGCTTAATCCTTTCTGAGATTTTTTATTTACTCTTTCTTATTTACTCTTTAAATTCTGTCAGTAAAGGAATTAAAGAGCTGTTTTAACAAGACTTCTTTTTCTTAGCATCTTCTATTCCTGTTGTATAATTGGCTTTACTATAAATCCTCAGAGTTGCCTGCACAACTTTTTTCCTATCTCTTTGTTTTTTTTTTTTAACTTTCTAAACTATTGCTTCCTGAACCAAAACTGTTAGCTTAGCTAAACAGTTTTGTTGTGAAAAAATTTGTTTTGATAGAGCACCAACCCGTTTTGCTGGGAATAGTGTTCCCCAATATAAAAGCAAAATCAAGAATCAAGAAACAATTTGTATCCTGTCATTATAAATACAATCATCTTCAAGGTCATAGACTTTCCCAAAAAGAAGGAAGTTCCGTTGATACTTGAGTTGTTACATTCATTCATTAAACTTGCAGGGGGGAGACTAAAATATTAATTGATGAGAACTTGCATTCCCATGTAGTGTTGGGATCTCCAAGAGACATAAATTGCTATGTAATATCTAAGGAAGTTAAATGTTAATTCTGGATTTGTTTATCAACTTCAGGAGTATGGAGCTATCTATAAATTTAAGTTAAGATGGCGCTGCTGCTGTACTTTCAACATTATAATGGGCGTGAAAAAAATGGGAAATATGCAAGCAGTGGCTTAAATATAGAAGGGCTGATTCAAAGGGTAGCATTGACTTAAACTGTTCAGTAGAGTAACCTAGCCACAAGTATTACTTAAATAAAATGAAAAATTTAGTTTCTACACTAGCCACACTTTTAAGTATTCATTACCTACTTGTGACTAGAAGTACTATATTGGACAACACAGATATAGAACATTTCCAGTATCACTGAAGTTTCTGTTGGATAGTGCTATTATAGGAGATGTAAATTTTTGTTTGGAAAGCTATATTAATAAAAATAAGATTATCAATGATAAAATGAAAATAGTTTCTTGTTCATTATTTGTTGCTTTCAGACATGCTTTTGTGGAACTTATTAAACACCATCTAAAATGATTTTCATCAGTGCATTATAGTATTGTCATAGACCGGGCATTTTGGACTTAACAGAAAGTTACTGAATTATGTACTTAAAATTTGTGTTATAAAGTCACTATGAAGCAAGAAAGAGAGATTATAAAGCTGTTCAGATAATTCATAACGGCTTACTTATTTGCTACAAATTCATAGAGAGTCTTCTTAAGTTTTTATAGTCTTACAGTTCAAATTTATCATGTAGCCTCTTACAGAGTATCAATTGTAGGAATCTGTCACTGACTTTCACAAAGTACAGGATGGATTGATCGATTGTATTGAGATTAAACCCAGGGTCTTCACACTGAGCTACTGCCCAGCCTATTTTGAATTTTTAAGTTTGAGTCAGGTCCTTTTATGTTGCTAAACTGCCCAGGCAGGGCTCAGATTTGTAATATTCTTTCCTCATCCTCTCAGAGTACTAGGATTATAGGCCTGGCTATAGACATTATATTTTTCTTAATAAAATTTAGCACTTTACTCTTATGTTTTAAAACTTTACTTGGTACTTGATTAGGTTTTTAAATGTAGCATTAAAAAAATAAAAATAATGTAACATTAAGCTGGGCACATGGTATGTAATCTTAGCATCCTTGGAGACTGTGTTAAGAATATGCAAATTTGAGCCCAGTATAGGCAACTTAATGACTTAGGGAGACCATCTCTGAAGAAAGGAAAGAAAGAAAGAAAGAAAGGCAGGCCGGCAGGGAGATAAGTGGGTGGAGCAGGAATGTTGATCAAGGTGGAGATCTGAGCCTCAGTGCTTGGCACTACAAAAAAAGGTAGCATTAGCTGCCTTCTATAACTTTAACATATTGTCTAGTTACTGCTTCTTGTCCTGTTTATTTCTTAATTTAAGTAAAAAATAGTTTAATAATCTATAAGGAAATATATTTTGTACTTTGTATACCAGATGCTTTAAAACAGGATTGTTTGACTTTTAAGAGACATATCTTTTTGTGCATTCTTTTGATAAAACAAACCTTATATATGTTCTTTTGAAAGTTTTTGTCTGAAATGGTTCTAGATAGAATATAATGTATCAGTGTTTTTTGTTACCATTTTTTTTAAAAAGATAAAACCAATGACCTCTAAATTAGCATGCAAAACAGGGAAATTTCTTAATTGTAACCTTTTAAAAAACCACAAATTAGTTTAAACTGAAAGTATGAGGCTTAATGAGCCTTGGGCGATCATTTGATATGTGGATAACTTATTCCTAGTCAATGTATATTATCTATGAATTGTTAGGTTGTTTGAAGTTAAAAAGAAACTTTGTGGTTGTATTTATTGAGAAAATGATTTTTTAGGGGGTTTTGATATCTAAATTAAGCTTTTAATCAGACCTTTAATCTAGATTTAATTTGCATTAGCAGTTACTTTACGATCCACTTGTTTTTTGTGTTTTATTTATAAATTTATTCTTAGGAAAAACTAACATGAGGAAAAAGTAGTTTTGTGGTTTTATTTTTTGTTTTTTGAGACAAGGCCTTACTGTGTAGTTCAAGCTGGCCTTGAACTCACTGTTGGCAATCCTTCTGCCTTAGCTTCCAGACTGCTGGGATTACAAGTGCATACTACCATGCCTGGTGAAAAGAAAAACTATTTTTAGCTTTTGTGGTTGATATAATAGGATAAAAACAAGAACCTTTCTATTTCACTTTTCTCAGCATTCTCTTAAGGTCATTATATGATGTGAAGAGTAGTCCTTTGGTGCAAGGAGATAACATGCATAGTATGGTAACCTGTCCTACTAGGTTATATATTTTATTTTCCTCTGTATGATATGATTATACAGCCAACACTTTTATTTTTTAACCACTGTGGTAGGACAATGGAAATGTAATGTATGTTTGGTTAAGACTTAATTTTTGTAACCCAGATAGTCTGATTTCCCTTCCCTTCTTTCATTTTATCACTCTGGAACCAACATATTATTAACTCTAGTGTACATTAATTAGTTTATTTGGTGTATTTAGAAAGTAAATACTTTTGGAGAGGAGGTTGCAAAAACTCTGGTCAGTAAAGTGCCACGTAACATGCTTTTCCTTTATATAAAAGATCACTGTTGTTGGTCAACCCAGGTTTCTTTCACAATTTAGTAACCTATAGTGGTATTTTAGTTTGTCCTTTACTTAAAGAATCTTCACAGTGGCAATTTAAGGTGTTAATCTAAGGACATTTACTTTGTTTTTTGGTACGAGGGTTATTGGAACCAGGAATACTATGAGCTATAACCCTTTGCTCATTATTTTGAAACAAGAATCCATGCTAAGCTGCCCAGACAGGACTCAAACTTGAGCTCCTCCTGCCTCATCCTCCATGTGTGCTGGCATTATAGGCATGTACCATTGCACCCTGGTGAGATTTTTCATTACAGCTTTTCAATTTACTTCCCAAATATCCTTTCTAATAGAATAGCCAAAAATAGAGGTTTGGTTGTTGATATTAATTTATACATGATAATTATATTTCTCTGTTATTTTTATCCTGCTGTTGAATTACCTACACAGTACTGTAAACAGTCTTCACAAACAGTAGAGGTGATCACCATCATTTTGGGTACAGTGTTAATGACTGAGGAGTAAAATACTTTTGTCCTACATAGAACATAGGAAGTTTTTTTCTCTTTGGGCCATTATTCTACCAAATGTTCAACTAGTTAGTTTTTCCTTTTCTATCACTCAGTTATTCAGATACAAGGATAGTTCTTTTTAATAGAAGTTGTTATACTAATAAGTCAAACGTTTTCTAGTAAATGAGTAATACTATACTGACAGTGTAATTATAATTTCCTATGTAGGTGCCAGGGATTTAGCTCAGCAGTATAAGCGCCTGCCTGGCAAGCAAAAGGTCATGAGTTTGATCCTCGATACCAAAAAATAATAATAATAATTGTTATTATTACTAATTTACTATGTAGCAACAACAATATTAAAAGATTCAAGAAGAAAATATTAGCCAGGTATAGTAGTGCAGAGCTATAATCCCAGTACTCTTGAGAGGCTGAGGAGAATCACATGGTTGGAGTACAGTCTGGCAACTTTTTGATACCGTGTCTTAAAATCAAAAACAAAACAAAAAAGGTAGGGGTATAACTCAGTGGGAAGGCCTTGGGTTCAATCCTTAGTACTGAGGAAAAAATTATTTCATGAAGATGTTCAGTTGTATTAAATAGTGTGTAAAATGTTATTTAATGAATACAGCCCATTGCTTCAAGGGATTTGTGTAGAGTAGATACTTTACCATGATTACAGATCCTTTGGTAAGGTGCTAAGTGACCTCATTTCTTTCTGCTGTTAGTTACTTCACACTGACCTTACTACTTTTGAACACCAGGACCATTCTTATCTCAGAGCTTTCCATTGGCTGTTCTTCCATCTAAAATACTCATTTATTTTTATGATTTACTGCTTCCCTTTTTTTTAGATTTCTGCTGAAACATCACCTTTTTAGAGAGATCTTACCTGTTCTTTTTGTTGCTCCTCCATCAGTTTCTGTATCCTTTTAATATTCGCCATACAACTCAACTAGTTTTTTTGTCATCCCTTTTACTGTAATGTAAACTGCACAAAGATAAGAAGTTTATTCAATGCATCATCTTTAGTGACTGGAATGTAATAGATGTTCAAGTCAATGAATGAATCTTACAGGGTATGTATTGGGACTTTCAGAAAAAAGTTAATGTTGAAGAAGAAAACCATCTTTGAAAAATACCCACACTTGAGTTAGAATAGGAAAATGCCATAGAAATATTTTCCTTTCACTGACCTTGACTATTTTGGCTACTTTCTTGTGATCTTTCTAACAGGAATCAGATCACTAAAGGGATTTTTAGGATTTTAATTCAGGAATCCTTAAATGTTTCATTTTTGCAACTCTATCAGTTGACTTAAAAGGTGGTTGCTGTTTAGTTTAATACCCTATAGCTTCTTTGCATTCTTGTTTATGTATCTTTCATAATTTATAAAACATACTGGCAGCCGGGCATGGTGGCTCGTGCCTGTAATCCCAGCACTCAAGAGGCTGAGGTGGGAGGAATGTTGCAAGTTGGAGACCAGCCTGGGCTCCAAAGTGAGCTTAAGGACAGCCTAAACTGCATAGCGAGACTCTGTCTCAAAAAGACCAAAAAAAAAACCATACTGTCTGGAGCTGGGCGTGGTAGCGCATGTCTATAATCCCAGCATTTGGGAGGCTGAGGCAGGAGGATCTCTGTGAGTTCAAGGCCAGTCTGAGCTACACAGTGAGTCCAAGGCCAGCCTGAACTACTGCATAGTGAGACCCTGTATCGAGAGAGAGGGAAAGAGAAAGAGAGAAGCCATGCTCTTTGAAATTCTCTCCTCTTACTCATACTTAATAATTATTCTTGATAATTTTCTTGAATATCCTTAATGTGCTATAGTTGTTAATTATCATTAGGACTGTCTGAGGTTTGGTACAGCTTCTGAGATCTCATCTAGTTCTACTTCATGAAATACTTGCCTTGTTGTATATGTTTAAGATGTTTTTTTCTCCCTCTTACAGACAGTTCAAGAAGAAGAGAGAGAAATCTACAGACAGCTACTGCAGATGGTCACAGGGAAACAGTTCTCTGTAGCTAAACCTACCACACACTTTCCTTTACACCTGTGAGTCACAGAAGTATCTTTCAGATGAATTTAATTTTACAGTTTGTTATTTGATATTGAAACTATATCCTTCTCATCATAGGTCTCGATGTCTTAATTCCAGTAAAGATACTTTGAAAGACTCACTGTTTAAAAATGGAAACTCTTGTACATCTCATATCATTGGCTCTGATACTTCATCATCTGGATCAGCCAGCATTTTAACTACGCAGGAATCCGTGTGTCATAGTGGGTATTCCCTGCCATCATGTGCTCTAGATGTTGCATTTGGATCCAAGGATCATGATCCTTGCCATCAGCCCCGGCATCAGTCAGATAGTTTACCAGCATCAAATACACAATCTGAAGGTAAAAGTGATAAATAACTTTAATTTTAACAGAAAATTTTTATAGTTATTACAGGCAACACTATAGTATACGTATAACTTAATTAACATGTATGAAACTTTAAATACATGTAATTCAGTTAACTGTTCCATGAAGAAACTAAACCTATAAATAAGATCTTTCTTTTTTTTAAAAGATATTCTTTTTTTCTAGATTATGATGTGATTTTTTTTTTTTTAATTAGTACTTAAGATTGAACCCAGTGTATTTATACTGAGTAACGTCCCATGCCCTTTTTATCTTATTTTGAAGCAGGGTCTCCTTGAATTGCTAAGCTGAGTTAGGTTAGGCTCAAACTTGCCATCCTCCTGCCTCAGCACCCCAGGCATCTACCACCATATCTGGCTAAGAGGCAAGTGATTTAATAAAATACTTTATTTAAATGAGTAACTTCCTATACAGAGCCTAGATTCAGACTATATTCAGCCCAATTCAGCACTTTCTGTTTCTGTTTCTTTATAATGAAGTACTCTAAAGTTACAGGAGCTTTAAAAAATACATATTGAAGTATAACTGTTTACCATGTGGTGCTTATTAAACCTATATAGAAGATTTATGCATTTGAGAATGATTGTGACCAAATTTTGGAAATAAAGTATTGTCTGCCTAACTTTCAACTAATAAATATAATCAATCTCTTAGCATGTTTATTGTTTAAGATTTTGCTATTTTGTCCTAGTTTTTTGGTATGCATTCTATGTGTACTCAATGATATATATTTATGTAAATGAAAATTAAAGCAAATTTTAGATTAAGCAGTTAGACATAGTGATCTTTTGATAGATTGAGTACCAGTTTCTTAGGGCTATCTTCTTCCTTAGTTCATTTTTTTAAATCACTTTTTGAAAATTCTGAACGTGAAAATTTTTGGTGGTATCACCATGGTGGCATCACTATAGCTACACATATCTATAGAAACTTGTACTACATTTTATGAAGTGATTTGCTAGAAACTGTCATTTTTAAAAAAGCTAGAAGACCCTTTAGCTTTCGAAAATACATTGTGGCAGATAGATAGCAACTGGACTGGAACAGGTATACGCATTGCACTATTAGTTTGCTTGAATGATTTAATAAATACTTTAAACAAGAGTCTCAGCATGGCACTTTAGAAGGACATGATTCTGCTTTCCTAGGTGAGTATTTGACAAAAGAAATAAATGATAGAATGATAAAATTGTACTCTTTAGACTTCTGCTACAGTGCTATTATCTCTTTCCCTTCCCCCACTTCCCTTCCTTTTTTTTCTTTCCCTTGCTTCATTTAGTTCAGTTTCATGGTACATCATAAACTTAAGGCTTTCAGGAAATCCTGGCGTGTTTTTATTCCCCAGAAACAGAAGGAAGAGCACAGGGAGTGAGCACAGCCCAGCAATGGATGCTGAAGGGCAGATATGCTTGTATTTCAGAGTGATTTCCTTATTTCTGAAGCAAGCTCTTCACTAAGACTTATTTCTTGTCTCAATGAAAATGGACCTACTTCTTTTTCTCTTCCATCTTATCTTTGTCCTTGTGATATATTTTTTTATGGAACTAGGATATAACAGAGTTTAGGAACTTAAGCTAAGACATCTAGGAAATATAACTGGGTAGAATTTTATTAATAATGAAATGCTCTTGTGTTTCTTTTAGGATCAGACTCTGTGATTTTACTCAAAGTGAAAGAGTCTCAGACTCCAACTCCCAGGTAAACTTAGGAAAAAGGTCATTCTTAACATATTGTTTCCTTTTCTTTTATCACAGTTTCTTTCACTAAGAGTTACATGATATAAAATTGCCGTAGTTCAAACCTCTCTCATATATTATTTGAATTATTTCAATGACTTTCTAATTGATCTTCTTTTCTTCAGCCTTCATTTTGTTCTTATTTCATCTTCTACCATACTGTGTTCTCTAATACATTCTTCTACCTTGTACTTTAGTCCATCTTCCATGCTGCAAACATGGTGATCTAAAATTCATGTTTGATCATTCATCAGAGGAGTTTGATGACCATTTATTAAACTCCTTCAGGCACGGCTTGCTTATCAGAATAGAATTAAGCCCACAACTCTGTAGTATGTTATACAAAGCACTGCCTCCACAAGTCACACCTTCTGTTGACACACTGAATCTTTAATTACCAAGTATTTATGGAGAGCCCCTTTTGGTCAGGTATTGGCCTAGTTATTTGGGAATAATGGCAAGGAGCAAAAAGAACACTCTGTCCTCAAGGACCTATATTTCAGCAGAGGAGAATGATGAGACAAGTAGCAAGCCTCGTGGTTACAAATGCAGTGAAGAAAAGTAAAATAGGATAATATATATCTTAAGCTTGGATAACACTATTTAGGATAATCAGGGCAAGTTTAAGAAGGTGCCAGTTGGGCAGAGACTTGATGAAAGTGAGAGAAAAGCCATATGTAGGAGAAATAGGACACTCATATTTTGCTATGTTAGACTGTTACTATTTTGTAAATATGATACATTTATTTTTGCAATCACATTCGGTGTTCCTTCTGCCTAGCATGTCCTCTTTCCTTCAACTCGTCTATCTGGCAGTAGTCTTTTATCTTTTTAAATCTCAACTGAGATGTCACCTCTCATGTGAAACTTCTCTTGGAGGCATGACATACTTCTTCCTCTGTAATTCAGTAAATCACTGTGTAGATCACGGTGCTTTTGATGTGCATGGCCCTGGCAATTCAGTTCCTAGAATAACAGTATCAGTTTTCCATTGAGAAGATTAGAGACATTTGAAGGTCCTTATCTCAATTTTACTGCTGCTTTGAAGTTCTCCTAGGCTTTAAGTATTCTTTAAAATTCTGTATTTGTTAATTCCCTCAGGGCGACTTTATAATTTGGATTAAGTCCTGGATTTTGCTCTTGGCTTTTTCAAGTTTCTTGTAACTTTGGAGCTAGTATTCTTCTGAACCTGTATTTACTTATCAATAAAATGCCAATATTAATACCTTACTATTGAATTGTCATGAAGAATGACTTGCAGGTAAAGTACTTTAAGAAATGTTTCATATAGTATGTAAAAGGTAGCCTTTCTTTCGTGGGAAAAAGTTGATCTCAGGTAAAAAGAACACTTCTGGTGATCACTGAAGAATGAATTGAGAAATGGTCTGCTCAGTAAGCTTAGTTAAATAATGCTGTTTGTTGAAGTTAAAGCCTCCTATCCCAAATGATTGCTGATTAGTTTTCCATCTGTAATTTCCTGCCACTGCCTGTCATTTAAGTTCCTACAATGAAGATTTGCTGTTTTTTCTTGGAAGGTGACATGTTTCATACCTGTTTACCTTGATATATTCTGACCTATATACCTAGAATTCCCTTTTTCTCATTGTTTCCTTGATAAACTCTTACTTTGCTCTTTAAAATCTGATGCAGTTATTTTTTTTTCCTCAAAAGATTTCTCAGTGTTCTCCAAATAACATTAATCTTTTGCCTATCCTTGTCTTTGTTCGTTACTAATATATTTGCACTTTTCATGCTGTGCTGATCATAGTGCCTGGCATGTGATAGACACTTAATAGATAAATCCTTGCCAAGTAAATGAGTTTTTTAGAGAGTCTGAAATGCTGTCTTAAGTATTCCAAGTACTTGTCTTTCCCCTTTTTGTTCAGTGTACTGATCTGGAAGGTATTGTAACACTAATAGAAAACAGTCTTTGGATTGGACTGGTAAGATTTCTAATCCTGACTGTTTTGTTTCGAGACAAATTATCCTGCCAGACTACAGTTTTCTCATCTATATGAGTAATTCTTATTGTATATTGTATTGAGGATTAAGCACTATGGGAATTATCATGAGGCTTAACTAATATATAAAACAGCAAAGTTGTACATAACAGAGCACAAAGGTGTACAAAAAAGTTGTAGTTATTAGTGCAGTTATTATTTGGGTAGTTACTGTCAGAAATAATGCCTAATCTCTTGAGATAGCAAATGTTCCCTACATTTGGCTTTTTTAAGCCAGAAGAATCTTTGAGCCATTGAAAAGAAAGTACTTGCTCTTACATTATTTATTTATTCAACCAGTCCTAAGTGCCTAGTCTGTGGAGTTATTTTAGTTGCAGAGGATACAGTAGTTTACAAAATAGACAAAAGTTTCTGTCCTCGTCAGATTTATACTTTAATAAAGGATGTAGATATTTGAATAATATGATTCATTGTCATGAGATTCTGGGTGTTTTTTGTCACATCTTTCTATCATGTAATAAACATCATCTCATGTTCATTTGCTCTTGGTATTGTACATTAAACAGCCTTCATTTCACAGTGCTACCACTGATCTCCGTGGTTTTCTATCTTCATTATTAGCCAAGTGCATATTGACTCAAGGAATAGGCCTTTGTTAACCTTAGTGACAATGAAGAGGCTGTAGAATAGCATTTCCATCACCAGTGTGCAGCCCCAGGATGATTGAGAATACTGATTTTCAAAAGTTAGGCTAAAGAACAAGGGACACCCCATGAGCCCTCGTTCTTGCCATACTAGGAGAAATTATAGAGATTTAAGAACACAAAATAAACTATCATATTTAACAGATCTTGAAACCAGGACCCATACAAGTGAGATGATGTGCTCAAAATTTTAAGACTAACTGGGGATAGCTCCAGGTCTCTTAACTCCAATTTGACACTTATTTATTTGCTCCATATATCTAAAAGTTTCTTTTATAAAGTCTTTGCTCTTCTGTTGGTTTCTGTAATAGGTGTTTTAGAGATTTGCAAACAGACTAAGAACTTGAGAAAAGCAAGAAGCTGCTAGGACAAGTAACATGCCAGTAACTCTGCTAAGCATTGTTCACTTGGGTTGCCAGGAAGGTCAGGTGGAAAGGAATTGACTGTCGCTATTTTTCTGTTTTAGTTCATTAGCAATTTGATAATGGAATATTTTGTGAGTAGGGATTTTTAGTATCTACTATGATTTGGTTTTAGTTGTTTTGACTCAGACTGACAAGAAAGTCTTAGAATCCATAATATTTGGTTAAGTCATCATTAAGTCTATCAATATGAACCCTTTAGAAAGAGTAATATTCTAGCTCAGTGGTGGCAAACCTGTGGCACGTGTGCTACAGTAGGCACACATAGCCTCCTCTGTCAGCACATGAGCCAAATTACCCCAGCAGCCAACTATCAGATAATCAGATTTCATTATATGAATATTGGCACTTTGTGATAAGTAAGGCGATTTTGAGATGCAGTTTGGCCCACTTGGTCTCTAAAAGCTTGGCCATCACTATTCTAGCTTAATAATGTTTGGACAAGCGATATGCTTTTTCACGTTATGTTCTTGCATGTAAGTAAGGAAGCTATGCATGTAAGTAAGGATTTTTGTGTTTTGTGTTGGGGTGTCTTTTTAATGTATTCAGATAACTCATTTGTGTTATTTCATTCTTGGTTACAGTTTGTCATTTAGGCACCTTTTATTTATTGCCTCATTGCAAAGTGTACTTAAAGACAGTTTTAACAAATGCTTTTGTTGGTAAAAGTATTTGGATGTCTCATAAACTTGCTCATTTTTCTTCTTCCACCCATAGTCCTACTTTCTTCCAGGCAGAGCTGTGGATCAAAGAATTGTAAGTTACTTGTTTTTAGTATTATTTTTCCTTTATAGTAATTTCATTGTCACTTAGATAAAATGAAACAACTAACCATCTTGGTTACTTTTAGTTACTAAGAATTACCTATTTGTATTCTTTTGTTTTATTTTGTTTGTTTGTTTCTGGGAATCGAACTCGCCCTCATGCTTACCAGGCAGACACTGTGCCACTGAGCCATATTCCCGGCTCCCTGTTTGTATTAAGTTATCGGATTTTTAACCACGTACCAGTCAAATTATTTAAATGAAAGGTGACAAAAAATTTTTTTGGTTGTTATAAGACAGTATAACAGGAAATAAAAAAATGATAGATTTTATCAAATTTATTCACTACAAGAATCAACTGGTTGAAATAACACCTGACCAAACAATGTCCAGGATAGTCAGTACATAATAAATATGCTACCCAATTGATGCTCAGGGTAAACTGTTAAGTGGTGAAACTTAGGATATTGCTGTTTTTATGTTTATTTAACTCTTTAATAATTATTGAAATTAAATTGAATTGAAAAATATTTCAGAGTTAGGTATTTTTAGATTGGAAAATAAATGCCCTTAACTTTGGTAATGATAAAACTAAATTGAGTAATTTGAGTTCGCAAAATCACTGAAAGGATTTAGTCTTGTCATGAATGTACTTTTAGTTTTATAGATCATTATGACTTTTTACAAAATAAACCTTTAAAACATAGTAGTTTATTTAAAACCTCCATAATATATTATTTTCTCCTTTGGGATTTAATTCTATTTTGGGATTTCCAGAATGAAGCTTTACTTTCTTTTTTTTTTTTTTTTTTTTTTTTCCGTCTTATTCCTTTTTATCGGTACCGGGGATCGAACTCATGACTGCCTGGTTGCAAAGCAGGCGCTTATGCCACTGAGCTAAATCTCCAGCCCCTGAAGCTTTACTTTCACTATAATCTTAGAAGCATGCTTCAAAAAGGACTACATATTCATAGATGTCTACAGAAGTCAATTGTTCACATTGAGCAACACAGTAATATATTTAAATATTTCTGTAAAAGTGTTAGAGTAATTTGAATAAATCTACATTGTTTCAGTCTTATGTTTTAACATATAAATGTGGTGAGGTGTAAGTTAGTGTAAAGATTTTGGACTTTGTATATGAGGGTTCTGTATTTGATATTTACTGTGTGTATAAACAGTATGTTTGATGCTGCAAGAGTGATCTCGTTTGTCACTTTTAATTTTCTAGAACTAGTGTTTATGATTCTCGAGCACGGGAAAGATTGCGCCAGATCGAGGAACAGAAAGCATTAGCATTACAGCTTCAAAACCAGGTAAAAGGAAAAATTAAGATACAATTATAAATAAATAGCACATTTAAATTGAAACTATTTGGGAAGGTTATCTGGATTTTGGTAATTGCTGTTGTGATTGCAATATTGTGTGATAGCATAGCATTGTAATGTAAGTGGTGTATGTTCTTGGTTTGCCCAGCCAGAATGACTCAGTATACAAAAGTCAAATAGATTTCTGTATTTTATCCCACTTATTTTCAAGTTCTGTCTTCCAGAGATTGCAGGAACAAGAACATTCAGTACATGATTCAGTAGAACTGCATCTTCGTGTACCTCTTGAAAAGGAGATCCCTGTCACAATTGCCCAAGAAACAGAAAAGAAAAGTCATAAATTTACTGATAGTGAAGATGAATTTCCTGAAATTACAGAGGTAAAGTTCATACTATAAATTCTTTTATTAGAAGCTATTGTGTTTATAAAGAATGTTGTTTACATTTTATTCGAATATTTCTACTTCTGTTTATATTGTATACCAGTCCTTACTTTTTTTTTAAAGGATTTATTGAAAATTGATGCAACAAAAAAAATTGATGAAACTATAGAGTGGCTTTCAGTAACTTCAGTGAAAAAGCATGTAATAATTTTCTGTTTTATTTCACGTGCATTTTTACTTGTAGGTAGACTGTGTTTGTGTGGTTTTGTTCTGGGATTTTTTTTTTTTTTTTCATTTTTGTTTTTGGTACCAGAGGTCAAGCCCATGACCTCATACAAGTTAGGCAAGTGTTTCTACTACTCATCTACACCCAGCCCTACACATGCAATAGTTTAATATTGAATAAACTTATTTACTATTTTTCTTAAATAATAAAAACCTATTGTAGAAGTTTTGAAAGTATATTAAAGACTGTATACATTTTAAAAATCTGCTCCTTTATTGTTGTCTTTGAAAAACTATTGGTGCCGGATATATACCTAAGTGATAGAGTACTTACTTGCCTCGTGTGTGCAAGCCCCTGGGTTTGATCTCCAACTATGCTAAGTAAATAAACTTTTAAAAACTTATCATGTAACTGGTGAATATAACATTTACTACAGTTGTACTAGATTTCATATTTTACATTTTTAATTAAATGGATACTTTTTCCAGAAAAAAATAGTGTCTAAACCTTTACTCTGTCACTACCTTTTGTGAAAGCTCCTGGGCCTGACTTGGGCCTGGATAAAAGGTGGTCTTTTCACAGGCTTAGGAAATTTGGTAGTACAGGCTATGTAGGGTTAGTTCAAACTTTAAGAATTAATATGAAACAATGATCTGAATGTTGTACTGAAAAAGAGAAGGGAGAAGTAGATGGGATAGAAAGTAGTAATTGGGAAGATGATGGAAATTGAAACCAAAATATTGCATAGAAGTAACTTAACACCAAATTGATAAACAGTTGGTTAATAGTAAATATAATCTGGGGATTAGTGAGAAATGCCATGTGTTCTCCGACACCTTTTGTTTTTAGGAGATGGAGAAAGAAATAAAGAATGTGTTTCGTAATGGAAATCAAGATGAAGTTCTCAGTGAAGCATTCCGCTTGACCATTACCCGCAAAGATATGCAAACTCTAAACCATCTGAATTGGCTCAATGATGAGGTAATCTCACACTTATTTTTACATACAAAATGTAAGTAAACATTAAGTAGAAACTAAATCAAGGCATTATTTCACTTTTTCTTAAAATGTGCTCCTCAAATGACTTAGAATTTCCTCTCAAGAGCTCTGCATTCTCCTAAGTGTGAGGAAATATGTAGTAGAAATGAACATTTTTAGCAAACATTTTAGGTCATTTTTACGTACTTTAAAGGCTCAGAACATCTGACTTCTTGCATTAAAGATTTGGAAAAGGAGAAAACATCGACTCACTGGTTTTTTATCACTGTCTTTAAGGCACATCTTCTGAGCCAGTAGTTTAATAGCTCTTTATTTTGCAGCCTGCAGTAAAACTTGAAGATTTCTCTAGTGGTACCCAGTTCTGCTTCCCTTTCTACAGCTACTTGTTTTAGGTCACTTACATTATAAATGATAATCTTGTACATATTTTTTTAACTGTGAAAAGTTATTTATTTACTTTAGTACTATTATTATATTGAGGGAAAAATTACATCCCTTACCTCCAATTTAAATTAAATATGCTGATTATGCTATGATCTTTATTTTTTCACTTTTAATCAGATTTTATTGATATATTTTAGATATAGTGATCACATTCATCATAGAGAATTTGTTCCTGTACATGACATAACTTGTTTTTCCCCTATTCCCTTACCATCCCTTTAATCCCTTTGTCCCTCCCCATTTATAAAAACTTTATTTCCATATTTTCCTTCTTTTCTTTTTTAAAATTTTCCCTTCTTTCCTCCCTCACCTCTTTCTTGTTCCCTTCCCCATTTAAACATTTTCTTCCTGTTTTACAATATCTGTTATATTTGGTTCTTATTTACACTTTTTGTTCTCACACCAGAGAAACAATGTGATATTTACACATGTCTGATTTATTTGTGTCTGATGTATTTCACTTAAATTTATGGTCTCAAGGCGCTTCCATTTACCTAGAAATATCTCAGTCTTGCCCTTCTTTATGGAAGAGTAGTACTCTGTTGTATAAAAAACCCACATCTTTATCCATTCGCCATTTGCACTATGAACTTTAAATTGATCTATCTTATGCTTAAATCTACAGAAGCTCTGTTTTATTTCAGGAAGTTGTTTTCATAGAGATGAAAATTTAGGTTGGGTGTTTTTTCCAAAACTGTCTTCTTAGGCCTGCTAGGACTATCCCTACCTGACCTTCAGGTGAACTCAAGATTCACAGCTCTGGAGGAATTTTAGAGAGTAATCACTTGATATTGTAGATATCCAGATCCTGTTCTTGTATGCTTAATACTTTTCAAAAATATTATTAGAACATTTGTTGAGCATTTAGCTTATGTTAGGCACTATTCTAAGTAAGTTCTTCTCATTTAAGAGTCACCATAGCTTTAGAATTAGATACTATAGTTTTATCATCTCCATTTCATAGGCAAAGAAATAAGACATAGAAAGATTAAGAAATTCACATGGGCTGGAATGGGAGGTATACATCTGAAATCCCAGCATGCAAGGAGCTGAGGCAGAAGGAACATGAGTTCAAGGCCAGCTTGGTCTACATAGTGAGTTAAAGGCCATATACTTTGTCTCACAAGCAAAAGTTTGCAAGGTAACATAGTAACAGAACCAAGATTCAAATTGGGTCCTCCCTAATATAGTATACTGCCTGAGAATCTTAAATTGGATCTTGTGTTATGACCAATCATACAGATTTTAGAAGTCATATTTCATGTCTAGGATCTTGATTATCTCTAAACCAAGTAATCTAGCCCCATTGTCCCTGGCACTGGTCAATTTATAAGATAAATATTTTAGAAACTCATCACTTTCTGATGTCTTCTAGTCTGTTTTTTGGTTTCTGGGGTTTTTTTTTGTTGTTTTGTTTTTGTACTGAGGATCAAACTAACAACCTCGCATTTGTCAGACAAGCACTTAAGCTGCTGAGCTAAATCCCCAGCCCCTGAATGATATTCTTTGATAAAGAATGGTAGGGAATATGAGGTTCGAGATGGGGATATTAACTCTCTTGCTTTTTTTGGTTCCTTAGATACTAGACCATTGAATCAAATAATGCTGTGAGAGAGTTGACCAAATCAAAGGGGAAGATCAAAATCAAGGATAATCAGAATTATCCACTGATAAGTTGCTTTTGATCTGTGGTCTTTTGCTAGTTTTTGCCTGCCTCTACTAAGGAAAAGTCAGTTATTCTGAAGGGACTGTAACCTGCTGTAAATTATATAAAACCTTCTAGAGGGCAGCAATGAGTAGGATATGAGCTGAGTTCTTGCTATTTACTGTGGCAGTTACTTCAGTGACAGATGCTTTACAGAGGCAGCATTCAATATTCAGGACATATTTTTCATTCTCTGGGTCTATCAGAAGCTAGATTTTTAGCAAGCAAAGTTAATGAAAATTATATTATTTAGAGGAGATGAAGGGAAGGAAAGATCACTTGTCTACTTATCCCTACCACATCTACCTCTAACTTTGTAGGGAGTAGTTTTCTTCTGAGTTCAGAATATTGTGAGCCCCCATTCATGTTTCCATGGATGATGATATGATGATGGTAACTTTTTTTTAAAAAAACACCATTTTCAAACTATCTTTAACGTTATTGCCCTTGAGAAACCCACAGTCTAATGAATTATTAATAGACATCCTTAAATACTAATATTCATTTAAAAATACTTAACTCTCAATTGTGAATGCTTCATTTTTTGCAAGTAATTTTTCCCTTTTTCTATTTTGTTCTTCCCTCAAGTAGTTTTTATGAATAACTACTTTTTTTTTGATGTCCTGTAAATTTTATGGATGTATTAAAACTTTCTCGATAATAAAGTGATTGCTTCATTATTCTTTACCATTGACAAGGAATGTAAGAGCCAGAAAATTAAAGGAATCGTATTTAGTTTTTTTTTTTTTTTGATACTGAGGATCCAACTCATGACTGCACACTTGCAAGGCAGGCGCTTATGCCACTGAGCTATCAGCCCCCATATTTAGTTTTTAAAGAAAATAAAATCCAAGCCGGGTGTAGTGGCTCACGTCTGTAATCCCAGCACTCAGGAAGCTGAGGTGGGAGGATTGTTGTGTGTTCCAGACCAGCCTGGGCTACAAAGTGAGCTCAAGGCCAGTCTGAACTGCATAATGAAGCCCCATCTCAAAAAAAAAAAAAAAAGACAAAGAAAAAAAAAATCCAAAAATCCTGTATATGGAATATGTATAGAAAACCACTAGGCTACTCCTGCTCTTGTCTCTTTCTTAAAAGAAAATAGACCTTAGTACCTATTCAAACAATAGGCTTTCAAAACTTTTTTATGAATGGATTTATATATAGGTGAATTTGGTTAAATCCTGTATAGTTCAAAAGCACTGAAGGTTGACAAGATTGATGTTTTTGTCCACATAAAGAAAAAATTAGACTTCTTTTTTGGTTGAGTCTATTTGAGGCAGGGTTTTACTACATAGTTCAAACTGACCTTGAACTTACTTTGTAGCCCAGGCTGGCCTCAAAATCACTGTGATCCTTCTGCCTCAGCCTCCCAAGTGCTGTGATTACAGGCATGGGCCACCACGCCCAGCTGAAATTAGACTTATTAAAAATGGAATGTGGAGGGGCTGGGAATTTCGCTCAGTGGCATAAGCACCTGCCTTGCAAGTGTGTGGTCATGAGTTCGATCCCCAGTACCCATGAAAAAAGAAAAAGACAAAAAAAAAAAAAAAAAATGGTTAAAATCAGGAATATTGTAGGTAGGGTTTTCTGTACTGTCAGGAGATTAGTTATTAATTTTAAAAACTTAATTAAGGATAAGGAAGAGTAGGATTAAACACAAGAATTAGCTGCAAAGCAGATTGAAAATTGCAGTTCAGAAACAAATATTTGCAAAGAAAATGTCAGTGCTAGAAATTATTAATCCTTAGATGTTAATGACTTTTAGAATTCCTTTCAACTTTAAGAATTCTAGGTTTACCATCCTGAGAAACAGACTGCTTTGGACTTTATGTTTTTTCTTATAGCCAAGTGGTTTTGCATATTTGAGACGCTAATGGTTGTCTTGTTTTATAATGCAGAAGTACATGGAAATGATTCAGTATACCTATAAATTGAACTGACTGTTGCTTCTGGTCATGATAGAATAAAAGGGGCAAGATTTATCCTTTCAGTTTAACCAGAAAATAAAACATATGAAAGAATTTTAAGATACTCTACCAGGCAGTATAGGACAGTAAGCCCTGAGAGTAGGAAAATAAAGAGAATATGCCATGTTGTTTATCTGGCTTACTGAAATGGGGATACATGTTATGGACAAGGCCTGGCAGAGCCTATGCCACAGGGCTTCCCTCAAAGAGCTTTTCAGTTGTGAGAAGAAGGTATTAGAGGATGGGGAAAAGAATTTCCAGAAAGAAGGAATCAGAACATTATCAGGGCCTATCCAGATGCCAAGAATAGTTCACATCCCAACCAGTTATAGTGGAAGAACTTCCCAAGTCTAAGGGCATACCAAGATTTCTTAGAAGAGAATTTCCTCAAAGTGAAGATAAATCAGCTGTACAACCTTGGGCCTAGACCAACAGGGCCTAAAAACAAATCTCAAAAGCTTAAAAATGATCCCAATAATATAACTATGTCACAGAGAAAAGTCCAACAATATTTAAAGGGATACAACAATTACTAGCACTTGTATAAAATTGACAGTATGTATTGTCTATCAAAAACTATTAGGTGTACTATACAGTTAATATATTTTATTTTATTTGTACTGGAGATTGAACTCACAACCCTCATGCTTGCCAGGAATGAGCTTGTGGTGCTGAGCTAAATCCCTGGCCCATAATTAATACTTAATAAGTTTTTTTAATTACCAGTTATGCAAAGAAGAAAGGGCAATTTATGAGAAAGAAAAGACTTAGTCACTAAAAATACCCAGAAATGAACAAAATGATAAAATTAACAAAGATGTTAAAACAGACCAAGTATGGTGGCACACATTTACAATACCAGCAAA